AAACCACCACACCACCCACACCCCCCCCCCCCCCCCCGCGGCCCCCCCCCCCCCCCCCCAATATAGGGAAAAAAAATGACCTTACCTGGTAGCGCTGGCTCAGTATGAGGGTCGAACTAATGACCTTTGCATACCTTTATATAGTAGAATCACTATATTAGTTCCACGCTCTAACCAATTGACGTAACCGACATCTCTTCTATCGGCGACGGTGACGAACATGCAGGACAGAGAGACAGGTAGACGTTATAGATCCGGCTAGATCTGGTCTGCAGTTCACGTTCCATGCTAACTCCAGACCATTCAAGTTCAATATTGTAGCTGAGGTCTTTTATTCTAACACTTTAATTGTATTTGGTTTATTACTCACCGATAATAACGGTGATTAGATCACTACAGCCTCTGTAACCCAATAAGTTACCCGTTTCTCACGCTCGACACTTGCTTACTACCTTACAGGGCTATAATATCTGGGCACTGGCATCTTGTTAGGCCGCTGCCAACATTAATGACGGCACAGCGGTTCTGAGTGGGACCCGGCCAGAGGACGGCGAATTGTCAATAATTATGTATGCCACATTGAGTATGGAGTACCTTATTAAAACAGGCCACAAGATCGCTGTTGGTCAAGACATACATAACAGTTGGCTTGAGCCACAGCCACATAGGCATCCGTATGATCATAGGCGAATTGTTAACCACCGGCGGTTCCTCCGACAATTCTCCACCGGCCGCCGGCAGAATCCACTATTCCGTGTCGGCGGGTTCTCTTTGGCATACATTCGCTGCGCCGCGCGAGAAAAGGGCGAGAAGGAGAAAAGGGGCTGTTGTTGGGCCGTGTCGGAGTTGCAGTCATTCTATTAAAAATGGCCAAAATCTGTCTCTTCCATTTCGAACCTGGACTTCGGATTGCCTCGTCTATTAACAATCTCCTACCTACCTAGTAATACACCCTTGATTCTTTTAGTGGACATTTAGAGCCTCAGTAACGCTCGCTTCGGTGAATACTTAGCGTCTCGATGCAGAGCGATGCAATCCGATTTGGCATCTTGGACGCTGCCGGGATCGCGTAAGTTGTTCCCATTCTGTTTCTTATCAGCTTTACATACACGTCTCACTCCGTGCCGATCTCCACAAAGAAGGAGACACCATATATAGCTGACATGGTTTCCGCTGCGCTCCAAACAGGCCCATGGATTCACCCCGCCAAATCCCATCCCGAAGTCATTGTACAAGCCGTAGCTGCACGTAATCGCGAGCGGGCCGGGAAATTCGCCAAGACGTACGGTATTCCTGACGTTAGGACGTCCTATGAAGGTAATTTATAGCTTTGCAATCCTACCTTTCTATTAGTTTTATTTTTTTTTTTTTTTATCTCTTCCTATACTTTTTTTCTTGGCAGATGCATGGTTGATTCGCTTTGGCCATCATCGACGACCCCAACATCAATGCCGTGCTGGTTTCTCTACCCAACGGCCTTCATTTGGAGTAGGCTGTCCGCGCCCTCCGTGTCCAACTCCCACGAGGCCGAGATTCTCTTCAACTTGCCCGAGCTTGCTCGGCCGGGCGGACCTGTGCTCCTCGAGGCTGCCCATAACTGTTTTCACCCTTCCTGGCGCCTTTTCCGATCATTACCGGTAGTTGATTCCGCCGACGTGACTCATGTATTCACCGATTGAATGATTCCGTAGTGGGCTGCTTCCAAGGAAGGCATCCACTTCAACTACGAAGTTGCAGGCGGCTGCCTCATGGCTATGGGGTGCTATAGCTTTGCTGTTTTGCGTGAGGTCTTCGGCGCCGAGCCCACAGGCTGTATCGACTGCACCACTCATCATTACACTGATGGCATCTATGACAGGTGCGACTGGGGCTTCCGAGCCAGTTTCGCTTTTCCCCAATGGCGGTATTATCACAAGGGCTGAATACAGGGCTTGGAGAATGACTCAATATGAGAATAATATTCTATGAGCGCAGTGACCCTTAGCTATCCAAAGGACCCTCTGTCCCTTGGAGGGCTAACCAGTCTCTATATGCAGGAGTGCTACGGGCCTAAACCTCCTTCATGAGAAGGTTTAGCCGTATGTCTCAGTCTCTGAATAGCTTCATCCGAGACATCTTGCAGTTCGGCTACATGCCTATACGAAGGTCATGAAGTTTACGGGGCCTCGCATAGGTGACCTCCCGTCAGCGCGTAGGCTTCCGTACAACAGGTATTGTCGAGGCGACGAGCACCATGCGCGGGCCTACTGCGTGGAAGCCGTCTCATGTGGCCGTGACCACGAAGCATATACGCGTCGCCGATAGCACGCTCCCTAGCGACTACCGGAAGTTCCGCGCTCGTAAGGTCACCCTACACGGCTATATCCAGGCTATCGCCTAGCATCGCATTGATGTGGTTGATTCATTCGTCGAAATCCGGAAGGGCGATGACCACATCGTCAAGCAATGGGCCGAGAAACAATCCCATAAGGCCTACACTTTCAGGGAGGCCGGTGATCAGTTCGCTGGGTTGCCCGGCGAGCCTTGGTGGATGTCCTATGGATACCAGCAGGAGCAATTCGTGAACCGCGTTAAGGGTCGCGAGACCCAAGCTTGGATCAGTTACGAGGATTCGATCAACAACATGAAGATGGTTGACATGGCCAATGAGAAGAGTGGACTTGGACCGCGTCCGTCCGGCGCTTTCAAGGCTGGCTAAGCTTTGGCGAGGGGAGTAGGTGGGTAGGTACGTGTGTGTGTGTGTGTGTGTGTGTGTGTGTGTGTTTTATTCTTGCACTTGGGTACGTTTTGTCTCGATTTTATCGGAAGAAGTCTCGCTTATCTTCCCTTTTCTTCTCTTTAGGTGCTATAAACGTATGATAGATTGGTCCTTTTGTCAGAGTTTCAGAGATTTGGTTATAATTGCATACACTTGCGAAATAGTAACGTCTTCTGCAATCCTTAAGCACAACTTGATTTATTTGGGAAACGGCGTTTAGTATTCCACTATACAGCCAATATGTCGAGTTTCGTGACTTCTGCTCGAACAGATTACCCAATATGCGAATGATATTCTATGATCGTATAAACCCTTGGCCATCCAGATGATTCTCAAACCCTTCAAAGTGTCTGTCAGTATATATGTACAGCATCCCCATAGTCCTGAGGCCCTTCCTTTCGGCGTCTCGGCCAATGAATACGGCTTCATAACTGTGATCTGACGAACACGAGTAGGAAGAGGCGTTGCAGCTCACGGGGCCTGGCATTGGTGATCTGCTGTATGAGCACAGGCACCAGTACAATAGTTCATAAGTTAACATAGGAAGCTATGGGAAAGCCAAACTACGAAAAGTGTAGAGACAAACGTAAGTGCATCTCCTATGCAGATCATGACGTTTACAAGAATACACCAACAGATGAGTGAAAAGAGCGGAAAGGTCACCGGCCGAGGTTGCTCGGTGGTACTAATTTCTATTCACGAAACCGATTTAGTGAGAGAAACGCCTCTTACCTGTTTCTGTCTTTCTTCTGCCCTCTGTTGGAGTTTGAGGGCGCTAATGGTGCGTTGTATCACAAACCCATTGGGACGCCAACCTACTAGTAGGTAACTAGATCGCAACTTAGATGCATGAAAACATTGAAAGAGCTAGTGAGAGCGGGTTCGAACGGCTCCCGTTGAGGCCCGAGGGGAGCAGGACGCACTAAATCCGGAGATATCGGCACTAGCTACTTGCTTAAAGGCGACTGTTGTCAATACATGGGAAATATGCCAAAAAGTAAATGTATGGCTTAATATTGGCCAGCTATTGGATGGTCGAATCTCAGCTTAAGATGTGCACGATTTTGGTTTATGATCGAGGCATACCCCCTGCTCTTATCAAACGGCGTTCTATATATCACTTTACCCCTGGGCTCCTTACTCTCCTCCAGGCTGTTCTAAGCTGATTAAACACACAAGTCATCGATATTGTCAACATGCCAACACTTGTAGGTAAAGAAGTGAGCAATAATGGGCTAGGTTTAATGCGTAAGTGCAGAACATCTACTTCGTCGTCCATATTAACATCAATTCACTGACAGAGTGCTCGCAGGCCTTACCGCACCTGGGGCGAGCCTTTCCGACGAAGACACCTTCGCCGTGCTCAAGGCTGCAATCGCTGCGGGTGTCAACTGCTGGAACGGGGCTGACTTTTACGGCACTCCCACGAATAACTCTCTACATCTCCTCAACCGGTACTTCACTGCGTACCCGGAGGACGCTGACAAGGTTGTGATTTCCATCAAGAGCGGTATCGTGGATATGCGAGTACGTAATAGACTCCTCAATCTACAGACATTTCCATCTACTACATACTGGCTCTCTCTATTGGTTATTTGCGAGCAGCTCTAATTCTAAAGGGCAAGTACTAACCTATGGCTGAGTATAGACATTCTCCCTTGACTGCTCCCCAGAGAGCGTACGAAAATATGTTGCCAACGCGAACAAGATTTTGGACGGGAAGAAGAAGATTGATATCTTCGGTATGGGCCGCGTAGACTCCAAAGTGCCTATTGAAGATACAGTCAAAGCATTAGCGGAATTAGTCTCGGAGGGCGCCATTGGTGGGATCCAGTTGAGCGAGGTCGGCTCAGAAACCATTCGCCGCGCTGCCAGCATCGCCAAGATCGACATGGTCGAGGCAGAAGTGAGCCTGTGGGCACCCGAGATCTTCGAGAACGGAGTGGCCGCGACATGCGCCGAGCTGAATATCCCGATCGTAGCACACACACCACTCGGTGCGGGTATGCTGACGGGGAAATTCAGAAGTCCAGATGACTTGGAGCCGAATGACCACCACCGTTTCTTCCCCCGCTTCCAGCCTGAGAACTTCCACAAGAACCTCGAACTGGTCGATGCGCTAAATAGACTTGCAAAGTCAAAGGAGTGCACCACAGCCCAATTGGCTTTGAGCTGGCTTAAGATGCAAAGCAAGAATCCCGGAGTGCCACCGTTGATTCCTGTATTCGGTGCTCGGACTCCGAGCCGTATCGCCGAGAACACGAAAGACTTCGAACTTACGGATGAGGATTTGCAAGAAATCAAGCAGATCCTGGCGTCGTTTCCCGTCTCTGGTACCCGATATCCAGCTCCGGCGATGAAGCTCGTGGAGTACTAAACGAGTCATGCATCATATGTACTTTTGGTTACTTCGGTTCGAACTACTGGCCTCTAA